CCATTGAGTTGGAGATGCCATCCAGCCATCTCATCCTCTGTTGTCCTCTTCTCCTCCCACCTTCAATTTTTCCCAGCATCAGCGTCTTTTCCAATGATTCAGTTCTTTGCATCAGGTGGCCAAAGTATGGATGCCATGATCTTAGTTTTCTGAATGTTGAGCTTTACGCCAACTTTGTCACTCTCCTCTTTCACTTTCATCAAGAGGCTCTCTTGTTCTTCTTCACTTTCTGCCGTAAGTGTGGTGCCATCTGCCTATCTGAGGTTAGTGATGTTTCTCCCAGCAATCTTGATTCCAGCTTGTGCTTTATCCAGCCCAGCATTTCAAGCTTATATATCACTAGTTTGTAACTATTTCACAGATTCTCATATACAGCCAGGATTGAGAATCACTTAATTTAACCTTCTTGACAATCTGATTGTAAATCAAAGAATACTTCTGATTCTATCTATTTTTAAAAGTCAATCTTCTCTAGTACACATACATATTAACAAATACTTCTATGAGCAACACAAATGAAATCAGAAAAGCACAATTTGTCAACAGCTTTCATATTGAACATTTACGTACAGGGGCAACACTATTGATCCTTACTCCACTGCTGGCCCATTCCACAGCTAAGGACTTGGTGAGGTTGTAAACACCTTCTCTGGCAGCTCCGCTATGCCTTTAAAAGACAAAATACAAACATCACCATTAGTTTCTATTGGATATGTCTCATATCACCTAAACTGATAGGTATACCAGTGACCTGTCAGAATTCCACAAGAACATTCTTATTATGAGTCCCTGTCTGAGCTATAAAAAAGAACTAGGTCCTTCAATATTAACATGAAACCATAGCTAACTGCTAGTCAAACAAATCTCACATAAGTCAAGGCCCACATCTCCCTGTCTGCATGCGTGCTCTGTCATGTGCAACTCTTTTGGGATCCCATGGACTGTAGCCCTCCAGGCTCCTCTGTCCAGGGAATTTTCCAGGCAACAATACTGGAGTGGGTTTCCATTTCCTCCTCCAGGGGATCATCCTGACCCAGGGAATGAACATGCGTCTCTTGCATCTCCTACACTGGCATGTGGATTCTTTACCATTGAACCACCTGGGAAGCCCCAAAGCCCACACAAGATCCCCCCCAAATTCCCACATGCGAAACAAAAATATTTTGAGGAACTTTTGACTATGAAAGAAAATAAACAAATTGGTAATTTGGAGGGTTACAAGTGTGGTTATTCTTTAAATCAATTTCAGGTAATAAGGTATATGAAATTCATATGTCAGGCTAGAAATAATGTCAAAATAACTTCTAGACATACCAAAATTTAAATAAATCTTAAGATAGTTCCAGGGAACAGGTTCAAAATATTTCAGTCTGCACCCATATGGTGCAAAAGGTAGAGACATACTATGGCTTAGAATTTCCAATTATGAAGCCTCAGAACCAAGCATGTAACCACTCCTCATTAGAGATGACCTCTAGAGCCCCAATTTCCTGATGAAAGCCCACCCCCACCCCAGTGTCGGCTGCAGAAGCCCTAGCAGGACTCCAGGCAGAAGCCAACAGCTCCCATCTGCCAGAGTTACCTGAGCAACCTCATCACCATCAAATGCAGCCCACACCTGTGTCACACTACATCCACCCGTCCCTGGGGGAATTCACACAGTGGGTTTCCTTGCTTGACACCAATGCTAGGAGGGGCCCTTCTGGAGTACCTCCCAGCTGGGCAGGGTCACAGGGTTACTGTCTTGCTTTACACTACTGGAAGCAAGAGGTGGGAACAGAACAGATGAGCGTCTGCGGGAAGCACAGTCAAGTCCGGGCCCTCTTCTGTGAGCGGGACCTAGAGGTGCTTGTCCCCTTGTCCTCATCCCCTGACCACCAGGGCCACCACAGAAGGTCCAGACTCGTGAACAGCCCCCTGAAACTGAGAGAGAGGCGTGTGGGGGTTGGGGGAGAGAGAGAAGCAGATGGAAGAGCAGAGACAGAAAGTACTCTGAATTTCAGCACCGGAAGCAGTCTGCAGAATGTGAGCAAGAGGCGGTTGAAGGGTAGAGGAATACACCCCCCAAAGTATGCTGCTGCTCTGGTGGAGTGATCATTTTCAGCTGGGGTCCCTTGAAAACACAGCAGATGCAGAGAGGGGCGTACTTTGAACTCCCCTTATTGGCCAAATGGAACCAAGTGTCAAATCCCCTCCCCGGGAGTCTCATCAACCAGGGAAGGCTGACTGTTGTCACAGGATGGGAGACTAGCGGTCAACACCACATCCGGACAAACATCGTCACCGACTATCATATCTCCCATCTATTCTTCAAAGCGCCCATCCATCTTTCCTAAAGATCATCTACTCCCCACCCCAAGAGGCCTATAACCCCTCTCCCCATTCCCTATTAAGTGAGAGTGAAAGTCATTCAATCATGTTCGACTCTTGGCAACCCCATGGATTACACAGTCCATGGAATTCTTTAGGCCAGAATACTGGAATGGGTAGCCTTTCCCTTTTCCAGGGGATCTTCCCAACCCAGGGATCAAACCCAGGTCTCTCGCATTGCAGGCGAATTCTTTACCAGCTGAGCCATGAAGAAAGCCCAAGAATACTGGAGTGGGTAGCCTCTCCCTTCTCCAGTGGATCTTCCGGACTCAGGAATCGAACCAGGGTCTCCTGCATTACAGGCGGATGATTTACCAACTGAGATATCAGGGAAGCCCATTCCCTACTAAGATAGTGTTTAATCCTAAATTCAAAGCCCCAACAGGCAGTTACTCATTTTTCCCTGGATATCTCCTGTGTATACATGAGGTACACATGTGAATTAACTTCTGTTTGTTTTTCTCTTGTTCATTTGTCTTTTATTACAGGGGTCTCAGCTAAGAGCTCAGAAGGGCAGAGGGAAAATTATTTTTCCTCCCCTGCATAGTTCTCTCAAGGTTAGCTGATGAAGAGAAGGACATCTAATACAGACTCAGTGCAAACACAGCAGCATCTTCAGACCACATCTCCACACTCAAAGATCTACTGAAGAGGCTGGCAGAGAAGAGTGTGATGTCAGGAGGGAAACTGCTGCTGGATGGTGAGACCACCTCTGACAGGTACAACAGGCTGAAGCCCCCAGCTCTCTGCTTGGTCCGTAAGGAAGAAAGGATATGCCCTTCCTCTGCAGTATTTGGCACTGAAGAAAACTACACAGAAATTGAAAGTTACTCTGGATCTTGAAACAGCACATCCTAATCTGTTTGTTTCTGGAGATTAAAAAAAATGGTGACATTTGTGAAGAAAAAGCAGAGAGTTTATCCAGAGAGATTTACTGCTTATCCAGTGTTGCAGTGAAAAGGAAGGGAAAAAAGAGTGAGTTTTTCTTTCCTTTCCTGAGAACAAAGAAGATGGAGAGAACAGTGAACAGACCTGGTTACTCCTCATTTTTACTTTAACTGTTTCTAATTGGACTGCAAGGAGATCCAACCAGTCCATCCTGAAGGAGATCAGTCCTGGGTGTTCATTGGAAGGACTGATGCTGAAGCTGAAACTCCAGTACTTCGGCCACCTCATGTGAAGAGTTGACTCATTGGAAAAGACCCTGATGCTGGGAGGGATTGGGGGCAGGAGGAGAAGGGGACGACAGAGGATGAGATGGCTGGATGGCGTCACCGACTCGATGGGCATGAATTTGAGTAAACTCTGGGAGTTGGTGATAGACAGGGAGGCCTGGCGTGCTGCGATTCATGGGGTCACAAAGAGTCGGACACGACTGAGCGACTGAACTGAACTGAATCTGTTCTGCCCCCTATCTCTGCGTGGACCACATTCTGCACCTGCTGTCCTTTAACTCTGTGCTAATTACATCCTGAATTCGGTGCCACCTGCACAGAAGTCTCTTGCAACCACCCCCTGTGGTTTTTCTCTTTTTGCATTATAAAAAGAGGGCCGGAGTACAGTTCATAAAAGACAATGGATCCAACCACCAGGCTACCAGACTACCAGACCCAATTACTGGGCTATCTGATGCCAACCTATGACTGTTTTTGAAACAGTGCAAAAGGAAGAAGAATACAAGATCCTTATACCTTTATTCCTCATCTCCGATCCCTGACTGGTAGCCCTCATCTATATAATCCCCCAGATTCCTCTGGGAAGGCGGGGGCACAGCTCTTGAGGCATAAGCCTACTGTGTTCGCCCCTCCACTGGCTGAGGATTAAAGTCACCTTTCTATTTCCTCTAAACTCTCTGTATTTTTTTCTTCAGCTTCAACGGGCAGAGGAAAGTAAGATTTTGGCGGCATCACCAGTAGTCCTATGTTCTGAAGGATTTGATTCTGGCTGACATTGCTGGGAGTTCCAGGTGGGTGAGACACCTGAATGGACTGCAGGGTTTTTAAAAACACCCTTTCCAGGAAGGGAAAGTGACCCCCATCAAAACAGAACAGATGGTGGACAATTCAGCTGCAGGTTGGTGACCATGTTATATGGGCACTGTTCCAGCCACTCTTCTTTTAAAGCAAAAGCCCAGAACGAAGGAAAGGAAGGGCATTTATCTGGACTACAAGTTTTGTGAGATTTCATTTCACCATCTGAATAACAAGCCTCAGAGCCATTCTTTCACCGAGAACATTTTCTGAAACACTAAGGCCTTATTTCTGTATCAGATGCGAATTAAAATGTCTACCAATCTGTGCAGGAAGAGATTATGAGTGATAAACCACCTTAAAGGCTATCACACTGCTTCATTTCCTTCCTGTAATTAATGAATAGGAGGTAAAATAATATCCAACTCTCAGTGAATCTAGCACTAACAAAATTTTTAAATCCTCTAAACCTTAAAACATATAAATGAAATCATACATACATGATCTTTTCCATCTGGCTTCTTTCACTCAGAATATTTATTTTCAGATTTATCCACATTGCTGCATGAATCAATAGTTCACTTCTCATTTCTGAGGAATACATTATATAGCTATACCACAATTTGTTTATTCATTCATTCATTGGTAGGTATTTGGGCCACGAATTCTCTCTCCATGAGAGATAACAAGTTGTTGTTTGGCCTGTCTCTTGCCCTGGTAATTATTAACAAGGACCCAAAAGANCCTGTATATACATGAGGTACACATGTGAATTAACTTCTGTTTGTTTTTCTCTTGTTCATTTGTCTTTTATTACAGGGGTCTCAGCTAAGAGCTCAGAAGGGCAGAGGGAAAATTATTTTTCCTCCCCTGCATAGTTCTCTCAAGGTTAGCTGATGAAGAGAAGGACATCTAATACAGACTCACTGCAAACACAACAGCATCTTCAGACCACATCTCCACACTCAAAGATCTACTGAAGAGGCTGGCAGAGAAGAGTGTGATGTCAGGAGGGAAACTGCTGCTGGATGGTGAGACCACCTCTGACAGGTACAACAGGCTGAAGTCCCCAGCTCTCTGCTTGGTCCGTAAGGAAGAAAGGATATGCCCTTCCTCTGCAGTATTTGGCACTGAAGAAAACTACACAGAAATTGAAAGTTACTCTGGATCTTGAAACAGCACATCCTAATCTGTTTGTTTCTGGAGATTAAAAAAAATGGTGACATTTGTGAAGAAAAAGCAGAGAGTTTATCCAGAGAGATTTACTGCTTATCCAGTGTTGCAGTGAAAAGGAAGGGAAAAAAGAGTGAGTTTTTCTTTCCTTTCCTGAGAACAAAGAAGATGGAGAGAACAGTGAACAGACCTGGTTACTCCTCATTTTTACTTTAACTGTTTCTAATTGGACTGCAAGGAGATCCAACCAGTCCATCCTGAAGGAGATCAGTCCTGGGTGTTCATTGGAAGGACTGATGCTGAAGCTGAAACTCCAGTACTTTGGCCACCTCATGCGAAGAGCTGACTCATTGGGAAAGACCTTAATGCTGGGAAGGACTGGGGTCAGGAGGAGAAGGGGACGACAGAGGATGAGATGGTTGAATGGCATCACCAACTCGACGGACATGGGTTTCGGTAGACTTCGGGAGTAGGTGATGGACAGGGAGGCCTGGCATGCTGCGATTCATGGGGTTGCAAAGGGTCGGACAGGACTGACTAAGCACTGCACCATCAACTAAAAAGCATAGAAGCAATTATGAAACCAGAAAAACCAAACATCTTCACAGCCCCAGTGTAATGAGTGATTCACAAAAGGGTGAACTGCTGCTGCTAAGTCGCTTCAGTCACGTCCGACTCTTAGCAACCTCCTGGACTGCAGCCTACCAGGCTCCTCTGTCCATGGGATTTTCCAGGCAAGAGTACTGGAGTGGGTTGCCGCTGCCTTCTCCGAAAAGGGTCAACAGTGGTTGCTAAAATCATGATGGCAAACAATATTAACACAGTACAAAATTATTGCCTTATCAATTACTTACTAATTGTAGAGGAATTAAATGAAGTAAGATCACCATCTTACTTAATTAACAGGTTATCTCTGGGATGAAAGAGTACGGAGGACTTGACTTTCTACATTATATAGTTGTGTGTTTAAACTAGCATGCATAATTTAATACTAAGATAGGTCTACTTCACAAAAACAGAAATTCTATGTTGGAAAGTTTTTTATAAAATTTTAATTTAAAAAATTGGAAAGAATCAGAGATTACAAGATACAAAAAAAATCAGCATAACTCATTTTTTAAAAAACATCATACTCTTTAACAACTAAACTTGGTCAAGTAGCTTCCTGGTATGTTGTTTTTCAACTTTCTGTTTTGAGTAGTCTTTCAGGCTATTATGAAAGAATCAACTGTGCCAGTAGGCTGTTCATTCACTTTCTTAAAAAAAAAAAAATGTTAACCAACTATAAACCAATATAAAATAAAAAAGTTTTAAAAAAATTTTTAAATCATTTTCCAAAATAAAAACTTATCAAAATCAGAATAAGAGTCAAATAGGTCAAATTCTATTACGGAACAATAATTTATTGGCAGTTCTATTTTAATCTGGATAGGTATATCCACAATGCTCAAAACTAAATTAGCATAGATTGGTGTCATTTCCTCATTTTAACCAAAAAGATGTCTCCAGACACATTTAGTTACATCTGGATTAGGACTGCCAGATAAAATACAAGACATTCAGTTAAATGTGAATTTTTACAGGAGACAACAGACCATTTTTAGCATAAGCATGCCCCATGTGGAAATTCCCTGGCAGTCCAGTGTTTAGGACTCCACCCTTCCACTGCAGGAAGGCAGGGGTTCTATCCCTGGTGAGAGAATTAGAAACCCACAAGTGCACTGTGTGGCCAAAACAAACAAACACAACAAGAATGCTCCATGAGAGATTTGGACATACTGATAAAAAAAATCACTTAACTGGGCCTATTACTGTTCTTACTTCCTTGGAAAATTGGGTAACCCTAATATGAATAGTCATGTTTTAGAAGTATGTTTCAAAGTTCAATAAATGGAATTTTAAGTACTGAAGTCACAATGCATTAAAGGGATTAACGATCTCTACTTAAGAAAATCGCTCTACCTACTCCCCAGCTATTCAACAGACAAACCCAAAGACATAGGAAGAAAAAATGTAAGTGCTTACGCAGCTCCTGGAAATCCATTTTTAGTAAGTACTATGATATTGACAATAGATCCTCCATGTTTTTTCATCCATGAGTTGTAAACTGCAGGAGACAGAAAGACAAAACTATTAAGTGGTGTCTTGACTCTTCCCTGATACCCTGTTACAGCTTGCTTTTTAAAATTCTAATTTATGTTTTCTTTTTATAAAAATATTGATTGAGGTATAATTTACATATCATGAAATTCTGTGCTTGCTTTGGCAGCACATATAGATAACATAAAATTCACCCATTTTCTGTGTATGCCTTAATAGTTTTTAATAAATACATGTCACCTCAATCCAGTTTTCAAATATTTCTGTCACTCCAAAAAGTCCCTTTATGACCATTTGCAGTTCAACCCATCCCCAAGCAAACATTCATCTACATTCTCTTTCTATAGATTTGCCCTTTCTGAATATTTCATATATTTGGTCATTTGTGTCTGCCTTCTTTAACTCAGATAGTTTTTGGGAGGTTCATGAGAGTTGGACTATGAAGAAAGCTGAGCACCGAAGAATTGATGCTTTTGAACTGTGGTGTTGGAGAAGACTCTTGAGACTCCCTTGGACTGCAAGGAGATCCAACCAGTCCATCCTAAAGGAGATCAGTCCTGGGTGTTCATTGGAAGGACTGATGCTGAAGCTGAAACTCCAGTACTTTGGCCACCTGATGCAAAGAGTTGACTCATTGGAAAAGACCCTGATGCTGGGAGGGATTGGGGGCAGGAGGAGAAGGGGACGACAGAAGATGAGATGGCTGGATGGCATCACCGACTCGATGGACATGAGTTTGAGTGAACTCTGGGAGTTGGTGATGGACAGGGAGGCCTGGCGTGCTGCGATGCATGGGGTCGCAAAGAGTTGGACGCAACTGAGCGACTGAACTAAACTCCATATTGTAACACATAAAAGTAAAAATGTTACTTTTTATTACTAAACAGTATTCTATTGTGTGCACATTCCATATTTTATTTACCCATTCACCAACTGATGGAACAACTGGACAGTTTCCACTTTTGAGTGATTATGAATAATAATCAAGTCTTTGTGTGGACATATGTTTTTACTTCTAGTAGGGAGATACCTACGAGTGGAATTGCTGTGTCATATGCTAAATCTGTATATGACCTGGTAGCTCAGATGGTAAAAAAATCTGCCTGCAATGCAGGAGGCCCTGGTTCAATCCTTGGGTTAGGAAGATTCCCTGGAGAAGTAAACAGCTACCCACTCCAGTATTCCTGGGCTCCAAAATCACTGCAGATGGTGACTGCAGCCATGANTTTCATTGATCTTTACATCTATTCTTATGCCAGTACTATACTGTCTCATCTTAAAATCAATAAACAGTTTTGAAATCAAGAAGTATATCTTCTTTTGTAAAATTGCTTTGGCTATGCTATTTTGAGTCCTTTGCATGTCCATATATATTCCAGGATCAGTCTGTCAATTTTTGCAAAAGGATTGATAAGGACTGCATTGAACCTACAGATCAATTTGGAAAGAACTACCATCTTAACAATACTGAGTCTTTCAATTCATAAACATAAAATGCCTTTCCATTTATCTATATCTTCTCTCATTTCTTTCAGCAATGTTTTACAGTTGTTAGCATATAAACCTTATACTATTTTGCGAATAGTATTTATTCGCAAATATTTGTAAATATTTTATCCTTTTTGAGGGCAATTTGAAATTCAGGGAAACTTTCTATTCACACGAATCAAGGCAATATTAGAGATGCACATCAGGATGCACTTCAGTGGAAGTCCAGTTTTTAGAATGGGAAGATCAGAGAACAGTTCAATACCTATTTCTATTAAAAGCTTGAGCAAAAGTAAGCATGTCTACCCACTATTATGTAACGCTTTCTAGTAGTCTCACCAAATCATAACACATGACAAAAAAAAAAAAAAGAGGTAAAATCACAAGAAAACATAAAATATAATATTTTTAAAATCTAAGACAATTTTTTCATACCATTTTCAAACTCCTGAAATTAGGATATGTCTTACTGCTGGTGACATCTTACAATTACAATTACATTGCTTTTACTTCCTTAATATGTATAATGATGATGCATTTCACAACTGGCTACATCTTTTGACTTTAAGAAATAGCACAGTAGTTATTTTTAGACAGCCTGATTATATACCTAGAAAACCCAACAGACTAATTTGACAAACCATTATATAAAGCAACAAAATAAATTTGAAAAATTCTGTAAACTGACAATAATCCAGTTGAAAATACCTGGAAAAAAAAAAGAGCCCATTCAAAATAGCAACAGCCATCAAAAACACCTAGGCAGGCTTCCCTAGTGGGCTCAGACAGTAGAGAACCTGCCTGCAATGCAGGGGACCAGGTTTGATCCCTGGGTAGGGAAGATCCTGGAGAAGGGAATGGCTACCCACCCCAGCACTCTTACTTGAGAAATCCATGGACAGAGGAGCCTCGTGGGCTACAGTCCATGGAGTTGCAAAGATTCAGACAAGACTGAGTGACTAACACTCACTTTTCAACCTTAATAAAAACAAGCATATGAGATCTATAAGAACCACAAACCTTTGCCAAAATATATGAGTTCACTAATGAAAAGACATAATGAGGAGACGATACTTAAACATGCTGATTATTTCCACGTGACTAATAAATTTAATACAATTTTAATCAAATTCCCAACAGGATTTTTGAAGAAGTATGAATGTATAAAATTTATCTGAATACAATAAATGGTCATGAATAGCCAAGAAAAGTTTGGAAATGAAAATAAAGCAGTATACATGTATCAAATATATGTTTTTAATTGTAAAATTACTGGCTATTAGCACAAGAAAGGAAAATAAATTTATTTAAATTACCCTATATAGACTTTCCCCTGGGCTTCCCTGGTGGCTCAGATGGTAAAGAATTTGCCTACAGTGCAAGAGACCCTGGTTTGATCCCTGGGTTGGGAAGATCCCCTGGAGGAGGGAATGGCAACTCACTCCAGTATTCTTGTCTGGAGAATTCCATGGACAGAGGAGCCTGGTGAGCTATAGTCCATGGGGTTGCAAAGAGTTGGACATGACTCAGCGACTGGTCCAGTGGCTAAGACTCCAAGCTCCCAATGCAAGGGGCCTGGGTTCGATCCTTGGTCAGGGAACTAGATTCCACATGCCGCAACTAAAAGATCCTACTTGCCACAACTAAGACCCAATGAAGCCAAAAAAGTAAACAAATAATTTTTTAAAAAAGAATTAATAATTAGTAAGTGCGAAGATGCAGAAACAAAGAATAGCTGTTGGGCTGAGAAACTGGTAAAAACTTATAAATCAGATACATAGCAGAGTCATCAAACTTCCAGTTCCCTGAAAGATACAGATGAAGGCTTGACACACATTCCTAAGTTGTTTTTATAGGAAGACCCCCACCAGATGAAAACTGCTGATTGCAAGCACGCATACACTAGACCGGTTGAAACCAAAAGATCAGTGATGCTCAAAACTGCACCTGGACACCAACCAAGCTGAAAACTGGGCATGAGCTGATCATCTGCCCTGCAGTTCCCTCCCTAACACTGACTTTAAAAACTCTCCCTTGAAGCTTCCCTGGCGGCTCAGTGGTAAAGAATCTGCATGCCAACGAAGGACACATGGGTTCCACCTCCCATCTGGGAAGATCCCATAGGCTGCAGGGCAACTAAAGCTGGTAGGCCACGACTACTGAGCCTGTGCTCTCGAGCCCAGGAGCCTCAACTGCTGAGCCCAGGTGCTGCAACCGCTGAGGCTCGCTGCCCTAGAGCCTGTGCTCTGTAACAAGCCAGTGCAATGAGAAGCCTTCCACTGCAACTGGAGCAGCCCTCGCTCTCCACACTAGAGAAAAGTCGGAGCAGCAACAAGACCCGGGGCAGCCAAAAGTAAAATAAATACATAAACAAAGTTACGGGAAAAAACCCAAAACCCTTCCCTGAAAGGATTAGGGAGTTCACATCTTTTGAGCATAAGCTGCGCACTCTCCCCATACTTTCCTTCACTGCAACCCAACGTTCAGTTGCCTGGCTTCAACACACACAAGCGAGCAGATCCAAGTTTGGTTCAGTAACATATTCATATAGTTTCCTAGATTTCTGTTAAAACAAAATATTCTAGGCTTATCTTGCATATTTCCTCCCCTGCAATAAGCTGTTTCACTAAGGAATCCCAGTTCCTTTTAATTGGAGTAACATTCAGAGATCACATAAAGGATGCTAAGAGGACGCATTGTCACTGAATTAATAACTTTCTTTTCAGGGGACAATATTTCTAATCAAATTCCGGACTACAGGGGTTTTTATTCAGCCTCATCTGTCTACATTCACTTCTCCTTTTGCCAATGCCAAAAATCTTGGTTCTCAATTGTACTAAAATAACTTATTTACAGAGACAGGGAGGCCTGGCGTGCTGCAGTCCATGGGGTCGCAGAGTCAGACACGACTGAGCGACTGAACTGAACTGATTTACTCACTTTAGCCCACACTACACACCGTAAGTCTCAGAATAATATCGCCAACACTACTAGACTTTAAGGGAAATTCCAATATGATTATGTGATAATTGATCTTACCGAATTACTGTATATTTCCTTTGATGTGATAATGGTATTGCAGTTGCATAGAAAACATTTCTTTATTCTTTAAAAATGTAAGTCAAAGTGTGATGATGTATGCAATTCACTTTTAAATTATTTGTAAAAAGGGTGTGGGGGGTTGAGGGGAAGGGAGGATGAGAGGGGGAAAGAAACAGAGATTAGAGAATGTAAATACAGCAAAATCTTAGCACTTGGTAAATTTAAAAGAAAGGTACACAGACAGGGCTCAGATATACGGTAAGTTCAGTTCCAGACCACCACAATAATGCAATATTGCAATAAAGTGAATCACACAAATTTTTTTTCTTTCCCAGTGCATATAAAAGCTATGTTTACACTATACTATAGTCTATTAAATGTACAACAACATTATGTCTAAAAAAAAATACAACCTTAATTTTAAAAATATTTTATCACTAAAAAGTGCTAACCATCACCTAAGCCTTCAGCAAGTCATAATCTTTTTGCAATAGTAACATCAAAGATCACTGATCACAAATCATCATAACAAGTATAATAATGAAAAAGTTTGAAATATTGTGCTAATTACCAAAATATGACACAGAGACCCAAAGTAAGCAAAAGCTGTTAGAAAAACATTGCTGACAGATTTGCTTGATGGGCAATAAAACAAAACATAATAAAATATATTTATATATAATAAAAAAATATGCCTTAGAAGAACTCATTGCATTATTTAACTTTTTCATATATTCAAAATTTTTCCAAAAATAAATGGAGAGAAAAAAATTTCTATTTTAGTAAAATGAATAATTAAAGGTTATAGAAAAGTCTAAATTCACCAGAAATTTAAACGTGGATCTTCCCACAATTCTTTTAACAGCAGCATATGGTGTCAAAGAGTACAAGCTGAAGAAGCTGGAACTTCAGGGCAGTCATGACTTAAATCATTTTAATTACATAAAACAATACACATTCAATTTAGAAAAATCAGAAAAAGCAGAGAAGCAAAAAGAAAAAGATGAAAATAATATGCAATTTTACCTCCCAGAGATGTCAATGCTTTATTAGAAACTCTTTCAGAATTATGTCTATTTATATACAGCCATATAAAAATATATACTGTCTCTGCAGAAATGTGATCACATTGGATAGAATGTTTTAAACCTTTTTTTTCACTCTGATATCTAGGAATATCTTTTCATATTGAGAAGTAGACTTTTGTACCTATATTTTCAGTGGCTGCATAGTACTCTATGCTACAGATGTATAAAACTTCACTCAACTAATATTTTACTTTAAAATATTTAAATGGTTTTCAGTTTTTCACTATTATTATTCTGGTATAGAAAAATGTATGTCCCGTATTCCTTGCTGTCAAAACCAAAAGTCCCATTGTTTAAAGTAAACACAAAATAAAAACTATAGGCCTTGGATTCTTTAATTTAATTCTGACTAGTAAAAATCATAACTGAATCTAGACTCTGAAAGGTTCTAATTAATGGAACCTAAGGTTTGTAAGAGATCGATGACTTGAGTGCTGGAAAATGTCAAAGCGCTGAACTATGAAGGCTGAGTTAAGAGACTAAAACCTGTCTCCTAGCATTCATTCTCCTCTTCTTACAAGACATTGAATTTATACTTAGGCACATAGCTAAAGACTCTATTTCCCAGTATCACTTATAGGTAGGTATAATCATTTAACTGAGTTTTAGTTGATGCTGAATGTCAGTAAATGGAATGGTGCTACTTCCAGACCATGCAGTTAAAAAGAATGAGTTTTACACTTCTCTGAATTCCTGCTGTCTAGATTGCAGTTATGATGGCAGGAACTGAAGCAGCCATTTTGGACTAGGGGATGGACATGTTAAAGACAGTAAACAAGAAAGATCCTTATTCCCTAATGATTATGAAACTACCATACTATCCCTGGACTATACACCTTGAATTTTTATGTGAGGGAGAAATCAACTATCTTATTCAAGCTCCTATTTTTTTCTGGAGCTCTACACTTCAGCAGTCAATCCTGTTATCACAATTAATACAGAACTCTGTATTATCAGTTAGATAAAGATAAAGCCTGAAAATGTCTGCAAGACCTTTGATTTGGAAATACTAAGAATATAAAGCCTAATCCATGTTGGGGTGAAGACCCTGTGGGTCAGAATTATACTCATTTCACATTTTGCAGCGTAGAAATGTCTTGAATAGCTCCTAAGGAAACTCTTCAGTTATCCAATTTCATGGTTGAATATTATCACCTATGAAAGATAACCTTTGATCCAAAAACTATGCATGTGTGCCAGTTACCTATTAGTCAGAAAAAATGTGGACTCTGGTATTCTCCTAGGTTTCATGGAATTAATAGGTCCTTACAATAGATTTAACAGATTCATCTCTTAAAAACAAAATAAGTATGGAGCTTTCCTTAATTTAATGATGCACTTTGTAGCTATATCATTGTACAAATTCTTAATCATTTTTACATGATAACTTCCTAGAAATAAAATCAACAGATCAAGCAAATTCATATTTTTAAAACACTGCCAAATTACTCTCCAGAAATGTATCAATTTACATGACTATATTGCATATAAGTTAAATTAGGGCAATAAGTGACATGGAGCTTCTGAGCCCCTAACAATTTCTCTTTCAGGTGCCCTATGATCTTAACATAAATACACTTTGACTTTTTGGATTACTGATCCACACTTGCCTGCTTTGCACATGTAGAAGGTGCCCGTCAGGTTGGTTTCAATCACAGCATTCCACCCCTTTGAACTGATTTTTTCTGCAGGAGTGAAGAACTGGCCTCCTCCGTTATTTACTAAGAAATTGATCTTACCATAAATATCTAAGGTGGATTTGACCAAATTATTTACCTAAAGAAAAACAATAAAAGTGAACTAGTTACAGACAAAGACAAATACTGTATGACAGCATTTATATGTACAATCTAAAAAGTACAACAAACTAGTGAATATAACAAAAAAAAAGAAGCAGATTCATAGAGACAGAGCATAAGCTAGTGGTTACCAGTGTCAAGAGGGAAGCAGGGATCAAAAATGTAGGGGTAGGAGATTAAGAGCTATACCCTATTAGGTATAAAATAAGTAAAATGAATATATTATACAATATGGGGAATACAGCAAATATTCTATGGTAACTATAAATGGAGTATCACCTTTAAAAATTATGAATCACTATATTATACACCTGATACTACATGATCCAGTAACCCAACTTCTGGGCATATACCTCCAAAAAACTAAAATTTAAAAAGATACATGCATCCCAATGTTCACAGCAGCACTATTCACAATAGCCAAGACATTGAAAAAATCTAAATGTCCATCAAGAGATAAATGGATAAAGATGTGTTATATGTGTTTATACGAAATTATATACATATATATACAGATATACATACACATACAATGGAATATTACTTAGCCATTAAAAACAATGGAATAGTGCCATTTTCAGCAACATGGATGAACCTTGAAAATACCATACTATGTGAAATAAGAAAGACAAACAATATATGACACCACTTATATGTGGAATCTAAAATATGACACAAATCAACATGTCTACAAGACAAAAACAGACTCACAGATATACAGATTTGCAGCTGCCAAGGAGGAGGGAAGAATTGGGAGTGTGGGATTAGCAAATGTAAGTTATTATATATAGGATGGATAAACAACAAGGTCCTACTATATAGCACACGAAACTATATTCAATATCCTATGATGAACCATAATGGAAAAGAATATGAAAAAGAATAAACACACATACACATATATTTATATAAAACGGAGTCACTTTGCTATACAGCAAAAATTAAACATGACATTATAAATCAAACATATTTCAATTAAAAAAAAAAGATTAGCTTTACCTCCTCTTCATTACGGATGTTACATTTTATGGGAGTAACTTGAGCCTGGATGGTAGGAGGCAGATTGGCATTCAGTTCATCTGCAGCAGATTTTAACCTATCAAACTTACGGGACGCAATGACCACATTACATCCTGAGGAGACAACAGTCAAAGAACATGTAAGTATTGATATATTTTCATTAGTTGTCTACATTCCAAAAGCAAAAATGTTTAGAAAATACGAATATGAATAGAAATATGAATGAGAACTTCTATTATGGTAATAGGAACTGAACTGATCCTAATTCAAAGCAAGCAACTAGAATAAATAAAACACTGAACAAATACATGCAACAAGGATTTCTGCCGGGAGCCGTTATGGGAGGTCCCACCTGTGATGAGGTCATGAAGAAAATACCGGGCAGGCAAGGCCGTCCAGGACCCCATCCATGACGAGGTCACGAGGAAAAAACCTGACAGGCAAGGCCGGCTAGGATAAGGGACCCTCCAGGCTGGCCTCGGCCTCTACCCCACCCTGGATCCTCCCCCCTTTTTGCCGTTGTTCTTGTTCGCCCTGCTGCGCATTCTTGTGTTGCCTGCCGAGAGCTCTCCTGCTCCTCTTTCACTGAATAAAGACCAACTTAAAACCCTAATTAATAAATCTCCTGGACGCTGGTACCCTATGAAGGGGCCAGGGATGAAGGAAATGCTTCAATTCAAACCACTTTGCTGGCATTCTGCTTTGTGTGATAAATATGTGCTCTCATTGCAAAAAATGCTCTTGATTGTTCTAAACATCCTAAGAACAGTACGCTAACAAAACAAACTATTAAGCATAGGCCCCTTCATGGGGTGAGAAAAGCTCCACAAATATGATAGCCACAAATGTGCCTAATAGAAAATACTTTAGATAGAGATTAGCTGGCGACTTCTTGCAGGTAGTTAACTTTTAGACTAACAGCCTGTTTTGTGCCATATCTGCTGTTTTTGCAGTCCTTTGCATTTCTGTTCTGTAAAAATGTAATCCTGTCTAGTTCCCATAGAGATGACGCTTATTAGAAAGAAAATAGATTAATTATAAGAAAAAAAGGGTCTGCTACTGAAGTTGCTTAAGTCACACCAGGTGCAAGCCATAAAATGTTAGCAGGCCTGAAGGCCAAATGATAAGAAAGACTCTTGTGAACGAAAAAGTATGTGGGTGACATCCAGTTTCTGTTGAAGGTCAAGTTGCTGTAATGTTTTGAGATGCCCTGTGTGTAAGCAATATGCACTTCCCCCAAAGATGTTGTTAAGGGTATAAAGGGGCCGTGCAAAAATAAACTTCAGACTTAGCCCTGAGCTTTGTCTCACTCTCTCTCTCATTCGCCGACGCCGTTCATCCTGAGGGTTCCCCTGGATCCTGCTGGGGCTGGACCCCGGCAGCNGTATTGCTCTGAAGAAACAGTGTACTTAAGAAAAATAAGGAAGAGGCTGCAGAATACTAAACTTTTGGTCAAGAGATTGAAGGAAGCCAAAGAAAAACGGCAGGAACAGATTGCCAAGAGAGGGAGGCGGTCCTCTCTGGGAGCTTCCACTTCTGAGTCCAGTCAAAAATGAGATGTTCTAAGAGTAACAAATAAATAAGATCAGACATCAAGAAAGAAAAAAAAAAAACAGCCTCCAACAAAGTAAAATTCAAATGTCTGGCATCCACCGAAAAACCACAGGGTACTCAAAGAAGCAAGGAAATACAACCCAGAATGAGGAGAGAAGTGAATTAATAAAAAGAGACCCAGGAGTAACACCGACAACATAAATAAACCAGAGACACAGTGGAAAATATTAAAAGCAGCCAGAGAAAAAGAACACAAGACACACGAAAGACAGACTTCTTTTCAGAAATAATGCAAGACAAGACAAGTACTTGAAAGCACGAGGGGTGGGGAGAGGAGATGGGCATTTTGGAACCTAGAACTCTTACCCAGTGAAAACAGATTTAAACTCCAGTTTCAGGAAGAATGAATGGTGCTGCTATCCACTAAAATGAAATCGGAATTGTTTGATGTTATCAGTTGGGGTTTGAAACATGTACTGCTTGCCATTGTGTTTTCTCCTCCCTTAAATATATTAATGTTCCCACTTTTGTTAAACTATATATATATATTAAATACTTATATAAATAATATAAAAAATAAGGGCAAAATAAAGATTTGTTCACACATACAATATTCAGAAGAATTCATGAAAACAGAACTTCACTACAAAAAAATTAAAGGAAGTTCTTTAAGCAGAAAGGCAATGATACCAGCTGAAAATCTAAATCTCCAGAAAAGAAGAAAGAGAACCAGAAATGGTCACTCTGTGAGTAAATAAATATGAAGACTTTTCTTATTTCTATTCAAATCCTGCAAAAGGTGGTGACTGTTTAAAGTAAAAATGAAAAAAAAAAAAGAAAAAAAAAAAGTAAAAATGATATCAATGTATTGTAGGCTTTATCACATATGTAGAAACAAAATGTATGAGGACAGCATTTAATTGTTACATGGATGTCTCCTGCATTGAGAGGTGCGTTCTTTACCTGTAGCACTACTTGGGAAGCCCATTGTATCCCTTACACTAATAGAGCATCTAAGCCTGTAGTGGATAATTCACAGTCTCCTCCCACTCACTTTCGTCTCCTGGAGGACTGGGACCCTATCATTGTTATAACCATTATACTACAAACAGGTCACACATTCAATATTAACATATGGAACAGATGACATTTAGAAACGTTAAGAAGTAAAACAGCTCTGCATTTTGGCCAGAGCTAGTTGTATACCAGGAGGTAGTTTCTCCACATTAAAATAAGGCACTTAAAAAAAACTATCTTTCAAGCTTAGGTTATAATTTAGTGAATTCCATATGCAGACAACTTCTGGAAATTCTGGTAGGTAATCTGAGAGCTTTACAAAACAAGTATTAAATTCACCATGAATTTCTTGTAAGACAAGACTAACTTTAAAACAGAATTCAATTTATCAACATTAATGTGTAATTTTCAACAAAGCACATATTATATTGTTAGGAATACTGTTATTCCTTTCTGCTTCTGCTTCCAAAAGGAAACTTCTCCCCTCCTCAGGAGGGGAAAGAATTGAAACACACATTTTCAGCCCAGGTCTAACCAAGTTTCCCTGAGCTAGGAGGAAGAACTAATCTGATTAGTAAAATGGAAAAGAGTTCCCCTGGATCAGTCATGGCCTCTGCCCTGTGCCCTTCTTTCTCCAATCTTTCTGCCTTCAAGGCAAGCATTATCTGTTTTAGTTTCCAGAGTAGAGCACAGGCTGAACAAGGTAAGGAAATTGGATATCTATAACTCTTCCTAAATCCACATTAAGAAGTTAAGCCACATTAAAAAAAAAAAAATTCTCAAGAATTCTAGGTGATTAATGCCTACTTTGTCCAAGGTCTCAAACTAGGATTATTCACAGGAGATTACCAAATTATCACTAATTACTACCTGAATGCTGAACGCCTCTGGAAAGTTATCTAATATTAGAAGAGCTATCCTGGGACACAACTTTAAAAGGCTATTTATTTTAACTGGTATATAAACTTGAGCCAGGGTATAAAGGTATTACAAGGCAGAATGTTGCAATGGTGGGTAAAACTAGAAACCTACAATTCCATTAAAGGAACGGGTAAATAAATTATTACATATGCATACAACAAAATACTACAGTCTTGGTTTTATAAACAAAAAAATACACATACGTGTGTATATTTGTGCATGTGGGTGACTTACAGAAGGGGGTTTAGGAGATGGGCAGAATGGGAAAGCTCATTTTAGTTTTCTTTTATATACTTCAATACTGCCTGAATTTATTGCAATAAATAAATAAATAAATAAATAAATGTTCTTATTTTAGAAAATTTATTTACAAATTTAGAAAATTATCAGATAATATCCTTCTCCTCACCCTTAAGCTAAATGATTTGGATGGACATTTTTGTTTATTTGTGTTGCAAGACAAACTCAGATCGATAAAGTTAATTAGAACAAGGTACTGAGATAACTAGCAAATAATGAGTTATTTCAACATCTGAGGCAATTGTAGCCAATATATTGATTTTTGCCTGGGTTGATACTGATGCCTTTCAATCTTCAACTCAGAGTGCTCCATTTCAGCACCTTCTAGGCCCCAGGTGTTGGTAAGAACCTAGTCACCAGAGCAACAAAAAGTGCTGTCCTGCCTCACAATTTCCACTCGCAATTCCTAGTTTCATTTTATCCACTGTCACAGGAAGTGAAAGTGCAAGTCACTAAGTCGTGTCCAGCTCTTTGCAACCCCATGGACTATATAGTCCATGGAATTCTCCAGGCCAATACTGGAGTGGGTAGTCTTTCCCTTCTCCAGGGGATCTTCCCAACTCAGGGATCAAACCCAGGTCTCTCGCATTGCAGGCGGATTCTTTTTTTTTTTTTGCAGGCGGATTCTTAACCAGCTGAGCCACTGTCACAGAAAGGGAATGACTAACTTGAGGACAGAGACAAGGATTTGGCTTGAATTCAATGCAAATGGTCTTAGGTTCAATATCCCTTGATGGAATCAGGGCTCCCTTTGTCTAACAGCATCTGTCAAATAGATGAAAGAGAGTTCCAATTCTGTTTGCTATATCCTACTCTTGTGAGCTAGGGCTTTCACCATCCTCATCGCAAAGGAACAGTCAAAATCATTTGGATGTGAAAGACAACACAATAATCACCACTTGCCTCAAAATCCAACTTGTATCTCACGCCAAAAAATAGGAGCCTTCTCAATGAAAAGAGAATTGGCTATTGTTTAATTTGCCTGATTTGGGTTTCTGTAACAATTTTCAGAAATAGCCATTAATTCTGGTAGAAAAAAATTAAGCTGAGCAACTCAGAGTAAAAGGTATTTGCATATTCTTTCATTGTAGGGAATGTATTTCCAATACAACACTACTGTTTTTTACAAATACATTGGAAGGCTGAGCCAGGATCTGATGAATCTGCTGTGAAGCCTGGTATCTGACCTTCACAGAAAATGACAACCGAGTCTACTTTTCTTATGGATTTTCCTGAACAGGGATACAGTTTGGTGCTGGGAGTAACGTAGAGAGTAACGGCCATGAAGTTACACCAAGGTCAGATTCAGTTCAGTTCAGTTGCTCAGTCATGTCCAATTCTTTGCGACCCCATGGACCACAGCACGCCAGGCCTCCCTGTCCATCACCAACTTCCCGGAGTTTACTCAAACTCATGTCCATTGAGTTGGGGATGCCATCCAACCATCTCATCCTCTGTTGTCCCATTTACTTCCTGCCTTCAGTCTTTCCCAGCATCAGGGTCTTTTCAAATGAGTCAGCTCTTCACATCAGGTGGCCCAAGTATTGGAGTTTCAGCTTCAATATCAGTCCTTCCAATGAACACTCAGGACTGATCTCCTTCGGGATGGACTGGTTGGATTTCCTTGCAGTCCAAGGGACTCTTAAGAGTCTTCTCCAACACCACAGTTAAAAGCATCAATTCTTCAGCACTCAGCTTTCTTTATAGTCCAACTCTCACATCCATACATAACTACTGGAAAAACCATAGCCCTGACTAGATGGACTTTTAAGAAATGCTAATTTCCCTTTTTTATCTTATTAAGATGTATTTTTTCATTTTTTTAAGCTCATACTATGTGCCGAGAATTAGAAACATATGGGAAGCAAAGACAATTTACATGTTAGTTTAAAAAAATCTGAAAAATGAATACAATTTAAACACTCATCATTCAAATCATTTCCAGAAAAAGCAGTTGCTGATAAACAATGTTGTGAACTTCTTTCCAGTCTTTCCTGCATATAGATTTTTCATTAACAATTAAATTGGAATGCTATATTTTGTTTAGAATCCTACTTTTAAAATTACATGGTATGCATTTGACAATATAAAGTCTAGCAGCATATTTCATTGTTACTGATTTACTCATTTCCCTTATCACATCTCACTACTGAACATTATACTCTTTTACACATATCTGTGCTTGTCCCTGATTATTTCCAAAGAATAAATTCCTGACAGAGGAATTACTAGGTCACACAGCACGAACACTGTTAACATGTTTGGATTTTTTCCCCTAAGCTAACCTCTAGAAAGCTTGCGATATTTTACATTCTTCCCTGTCCTCTCTGTCATCAACATTTTCATTCTCCCTAATGTTTTAAAATTTTGTTAGAAAAACAATGGACCTTTTTACTGCTATATTTTGCATTTCACTGCCAAAAAATTGACTGTTTCTTCATGCACGTACTGCCTTTTTTTAGTTCTTTATTTAAAATGTATCATAAGCCTATTTTTCTATCAGTGTGTTAGATCTTTCCCTAATTTATAAGATCTCTTTATACAGTAAATTTGTTGCATATTGCAAATGTTTTTCTTCATGTACCTTCAAATTTTATTCATGTATATTTTTTAATTCAACGAGGATTTACATTTTCATATTTATTTTCTCTTTTGTGGTTTCTTTCCTCCTTATGTACTCACAAAGTAGTCCCTTCACCCAAGTCAACCTCCGCACACAGTATGAACTTAAAAAAGTATGCTTTAAAAAAATGAAAAAATACATCTTAATAAGAAAAAAAGGGGGGAATTAGCATTTCTTCATCTGACCCTGGTGAAACTTCATGGCCATTACTATCTACTTAACTCCCAAGTCAAGGTAAACATTAAAAGAGATTCAAGACTGTATGATTGGAGCCTCTCCACATGTTAAAAACTTTCCCAGCAGTTTTTGCACATTTCCTAATCATTAGGCAATAAACAGAATGAAAAAACAGAGGTTTTTTTGGCCACAGTTGCATGGCTTGCGGGATATTAGTTCCCTGATCACGTGTTGAACCTGGGTCCACTAAGAAAGCGCTGAGTCCTCACCACTGGACCGCCAGGAAATTCCCTAGAATTAATGCAAAATACATAACCAATTCCATATGAATAATTTAACTGACCATAACGATTCCATAATTCCATATTAATAATGACAATGGTTTCATAATTAATTCCATAGCAAGCTTCCACACATTTCCTTAATCCCCACCTCGGGCACTGTACCTTTGGCTCGAAATTTGTCCTTTAGTTTACAAATGGTGGTTCATCATCCAACGCCTGTCCACGACTTTTTAGAAAGAACTCTCCTCTCCCCACTCTCGCTCGCGATTCTAATTTCACCCACAGCTACACTTCCTTGCTTTGCAACTCCACGCTCTCCTAAGGCCGCGTACCACCCGCTGGCTCCCGAACCGCCCCCGCCCCAGGTTAAACAAGCCTCTGAGGACCCCTCCTTCTGGATTCCCTAGCCCAGGGACCTGCTCACGCACCCAGATGAAGGAGCTCGTTCACGATGGCCTTCCCGATGCCCGTGCCCCCACCGGTGACGATGGCCACCTGGTGCTGCAGCAAGCCTGCTGCTAAGCAACTCTTGCCCCTAACCCCAGAATTCATGACGGTAACGCGTTTCAGCGAGGAAGAGCAGGGCAAGCTAAGTAAGCCACCGAGGTCACGCCCACGTGACCTCCAGGGCCCCGCCCCGACCACGCTCGTTGGCCCGCGTCGCCCCGCCCTCTCTCCGTTGCCCCGCCCCTCTCCGTCACCCCGCCCCACCCCGATCCCCAACCTGGCACGCCCGTCGCAGCGGCTTTCAGTCCCTCCAGGGCAGAAGCGTTCCCCAGCGGCTGCATCCCGGCGCTCAGCGCTCTCCGCCTGCCTGGGTCCCCAACACGTGTAGGTGAGACTCCTTGTTCTTTGTGTGTGTGTTTTATTTCGATGCTGTTGGGGAAGGGAAGAAGACAAAAAGTGGCGCTGTGGTCTATTTTGGAAAATTTAATCCTCAGTGGTATACCTCTCATGGTTTTAATTAAAATTAAATCTCCGGTGCGTCTGGGAAAAGAGGCTACAGCTCGGGAGCCTTGCTCCGCCCTCCCGCGGAGGGCGTGGTGTCGAGAGCGATGCTCTGGCTCCAGCTGCTTTGTGCAGCTGCCTGGAAAGGAAAGGGGCAGCCTTAGCCGAGAGGGAGAAAATCCTGCTTCATCCTCCGGAAGGGATGGGAACAAAAGAGGGAGGGGGCGGAATACACTTGTAATTATCCGGAGACCAAGATAATAAATGATTTTTAAAAGACACAACCCCACCACCACCTTATCGACCTCTCCTCACCCAGGAATGAAGGGAAGAAGGACTCTTTGAGGTTTGCTTTGAGGTTTGATCCATTTCAGCTGGGCTGCATAAAATTGATGAGTCCAAAAGATTTTTTTTATTTTAAAGGTGTATGCTTCATGCAAGAAGGTGTCTGTACGTGTGTGTTTGAGATCTAGTTCATTTGATCTCTAGTTCATTTCTTATGCAGGCGAGCCCGCCTATTGAGGATGGGGGAGACTTCTCATCCGCGTTTTGGTACCCATTAACAGTGATTCGCTATTCAAATTCTCCATCTTGCTTTGTTCTGTCTACCCATCAGAGTGCAACTACACTAGCCTCAGGAGACTTTGCCTAAGAAAGTGGCAGATCTAGGGACTATGACAGGTGCTGTGATCCTAATCTTCCATGCAGGATGCTGTTTCTAAGTCTGTAGGAAGTAGGACCCTCCAGGGCTTGAGAGTGGACTCTTGTCTAACACCCACAAAAGGTATTGTCCAAGGAGACACACATGCTGACAAAGCAAGAGACTTTATTGGTAGGGGACATCCGGGCGTGGGGGTGGGGGTAGCTGCAGGGTAAGGGAACCCAGGAGAACTGCTCTGCCAAGTGGCCCTTAGTCTTAGGTTTTATGGTAACGGGGTTAGTTTCTGGGTTGTCTCCGGCCAGTCATTCTGGTTCAGGGTCCTTCCTGGTGACTTGTGCATCACTCAGCCAAGATGGATTCCAGCAAGAAGGAATCTGGGAGGTTGGTTAAGACGTGTTGACTGGCATCTCCTCTCTCCTTTTGACCTTTCCCAGATTTTTCTGGTGGGCAGTAGCTTGTTAGTTCCATGTTCCTTACCAGGACCTCCTGTTGTAACTCATGCAAATGGTTACTATTGTGCCTAGCCAGGGTGGGCAGTTTCAGTCAGTGGTACCCCTAACAAGAACACTGTATTTCCCCCTGCAAGGTATTAAAGTAATGTAAAAGCAAACAAATGCCATCATTCTTTTGTTGGGTCCATCACCGAATTATTCAAAGTGAATTGGAAATGGATCTGGTTGAGAGTGGAATCAGACATCGCTTCCTCCCTCTTCCTCCATCCCCCTGCCCTCCTCTGACCCCTTTTGAGAAGAATTTATTCCCTTTGTTGCTGACAGATTCCAAGCTATGCTCCTTAAAAAAGGGAAGATACCTCTTCCGCTTCTCATTTGCTAATTAGTTTATGAAGGGATCACTTCTACTGGTCACCTCTCAGTTCTGAGAGGTTTCTTATTCCAGAAAATTTGAGGCCTTCTTTCTCGGGAGGAAGGAGCACTTTAAATTTCTTTCAATGATACTTTGATGAAGATGTGATTCATGTGGTCTGTGACCTGATCTGGACTTGTGGATTTACGGAGCTCCGCCAGGGAGGTTCTGCATGGACCTGGCTGTTCTGCAGCCTGTGTATGTATGGTGGCTCGGTGGCCTCAGAGAGGCGTTCTGCGGTCCTCCAGTGAAAATGTGACTGGCTGGACAGGCTTCAAGCCAGTTTTGCTTGCTGAGGATGACCAGAAGCCATTTTGCAGGCTCAAGGAAGTTGCACTATGAGCAGACAGAAAGCTCTTTTTCACAGTCCAAAGATAGCCTATGATTTAGGGAGATGTGGAATCTTTTTGAGAGATCTTTTTTAAAAAAAGACCTGTTCTAGAGAGTAACATGGAAACTTACACTACCATATGTAAAATAGATAGCCAATGGGAATTTGCTGTATGGGGAACTCAAACTGGGGGCTCTGTAACAAATTAGAGGGGTGGATTGGGGAGAGAGATATGGCTGTACCTATGGCTGATTCTTGTGGCTGTTTGACAGAGACCCACAAAATTCTGTAAAGCAATTATCCTTTAATTAAAAAAAGGAAATAGCAAAAATAGATAAACTTAAATAAAACCCATAAAAATAATTCCTTTGTTCCATGATCAAGTGTTTCTAGATAGATTTCACTTTGGGAAGATTTTTTAAAAGAGACCTGTCCTCTCTGCCGCTGTCCTCAGTCAGCGTTTGAATGTCAGCAAACCCCCAACAGACCTGGAGGCCCAACCACAGCTCTGCTTTCGGGAGACTCTTTGTTTCCAGATTTTAACTCAGATGCCAGATTGAGTCCTCTTTTCTCAGGGCATCCACGCCCTGCTGCAATGACTGCTCCTTTGGCCGAATCAAAGACCGCCTGGTGCTATGCATCACTGCCCCGTTTGTCCTGGGGAAAAAGGCATCACCGTGGCCTTGATCCTCCCACCCTCCCACTTTGTCGTAGCCCATTAGCACTCCCTCCGTTCATCTTCTGAGATTCTCTTGCTGCTCACCCATCTTCCCACTCCCCCCTCCCCATCTGCCTAGTATCTTCATTTTCTCCCCTCCACAAAGCAGCTGCTGGCTCAGGCTGACAGTGGCCTGTGGGATTCTCAACACTGAGACAGAATCTCAGTGCCGAAGGAGTATCACTGGGGCATATCTAGCTCTGCCCTGCCTTGATGTAAAAGCAGTCCAGAGCCAACTTATATATGTAAGATTCTTAAAATGTGTGAGTTGCTCAGGTCACGTCTGACTCTGTGACTTCATGAACTGTAGCCTGCCAGGCTCCTCTGTCTATGGAATTCTCCAGGCAAGAATACTGGAGTGGGTATCCATTTCCTTCTCCAGGCGATCTTCCCAACCCAGGGATCGAACCTGGGTGTCCTGCATTGCAGGCAGATTCTTTACCATCTGAGCCATCAGGGAAGCCAGTTCACAATATTCAGCCAATATTTACTGAGCACCTTTCATGTGCCAGTTACTGTTCTAGGCATGAAGGATACAGTACAGTGGACAAGACAGTTAGGTGTGCTGGCTGAGAGAGTTTATGTTTTAGGATAGGTTGAGAGTTGAGGATGGAAGGGGCATGTGTGCCATAAGAAGTAAAGCAATAAGCAAATGAAAGATCAGACAGTAAAGATCATATCTTATAGCTCTTACAGTAAAAAGATGCTCAAGCGCCTTATAACCAACTAGCTTCATTATCAGAAGCTATTTTCTCTATAGACAGATGCTCCTCAGGTGATGAACTAGCCTCAGTGTGAAAGCCTTTCAGGACCAGGAGACGAGAGAAATGCTGCTCACAGGACCACAAAGGAAAAGGCTATAACCTTAACTGTGCTCACAGCCAATCACAGCAATGGGTGGGAGACTGTGCGTTTTAAGTTGCTTCTCCATCATTTTCCAATCTCTTGATACTCGTCTGAACCAAATTTCCTTCCATTTTTACATTTGTGAGAGTATCTCTCTGAGAGGGTCTATTAGTCATTTTCAGTGATGAAATGGCAAACATTTCATCTCTTAGTTGGCCTAGTACATCTAATGGTGTTAAGCCAAGATGCTAACCAGAGAGTCTGGTCACCCCAGACAGATGACACATAGCTCTTTGAGTGACAGATTCACAGGTAAGAAAACTGGAAGAACAGCAGGGCTGGAGGAAGGCACAGTTCACTGATGTTTTTGTTGTTGTTCAGTTACTAAGTCGTGTCTGACTCTTTGCCCTCCCACAGACAGCAGCGTGCCATTATCTCCTGGAGTTTGCCCAAGTTCATGTCCATTGAATTGGTGATGCTATCCAACCATCTCATCTTTTACCACCCTCTTCTTTTGCCTTCAACCTTTCCCAGTATCAGGATCTTTTACAATAAGGAATGGCTGTAAGTGAACTTGAAAATGATGATACTTTACCCACCTGGCCCCAGTTCAGGTTCCTTGGAGAAAGAAGATGTGTTAATTTCAGTGAAGGTGCAAAAAGTCAATTCCTGATTGTACTTAATTAAACCAGCAGAGCAGTGCACCCTAATTTGGAAGCTTTATAAATCAGAGATGGCAAAATGCAGCCTGTTTACGATTTGTTTTGGTTGTTTGTCCCCATGGTAATTTATTTAAATTTAGACTAATTGCAACAGTTAAAATCACAAACTTCCACATGCAATTTCAGACAACCCCTACCAAATGGACCTGAATTTGTCTGTGAAAGCAGTTGGCTAAATACTGGGCTTGGTGGGAAGAAGAGAACAGTAACTTCCTATTTCAGATGAGACCTGAGCTCTTATATTTTCCATAGCCCCCACCACTCCTTGTGTCCAGATGCTAAGGCTTGGGATCATTGGCACTTATTAGCTTTTTCCAGCCACACTTCATCCATGTATGTTACTTGCTTCCCTGCAATTAATCTAAGAGCAGAGACTTCAAAGCTCCCTGGCCTCTCCCACCCACCAAGTCCAGAAGTTCTGCTGAGGATCTGGATGGGTTTAGGGAAGGCACTGGATCAGATCTGCTTCAGTGACTACCTGGCAGCAAAGAATTGTAAACAGACTCCAGGAAAATCATGCCCAATGGTAAGAAGTCCATGAAGCACCGGTATTCCACCACTGTGGAGGTGGGGTTAGTGACCGAGTGACTGACTGACTGGATGGGAGTAATGACCAGACTTGTGCTGATGACCCAGCCCTACAAAGGCACTATACCCGGGTAGATAAGTTCATTTTGTGGCCTTGTGAGTCTTTGGGTGTTTACTGACTGCTTCGGAGCTATTGGTTTTCTTTTAATAAAACTCTGGAGGAGTACATAGGTAGCTAGAGTGATTGAAGCTTTGGAGATACATGTGAAGGAGATGGTGTAGGCTAGGATGGCTGGACAGGGAGGGGCCAGATCCACAGGTCTTTAGGCCACAGGACAAGTTTAAGTTTAACTTTATACCAATGGGAAGTCACTGGAGGATTTTAAACAGAAAATGGCCTGATTTTATGTATGTTTTTAAAAGACCTTTCTAACTACTAAGTGGAGAATTGATTGCAAGACAGCAAGAATAGAAGCCAGAAGATAAGGAGCATATTTAGAACCATGGTAAAAGATGATGGCCTCGTAGACCACAGTGGTAACAATGAAGATGGGAAAAAGTTGTGGATGCATTTAAGAGTTATTTGGAGAATTTCTTTCAAAGATGGCTTAATATCAGTAGTTTATGCATTAAGTTTTCAGAGTTTGAGCAGTATATGCTTTAAAACCTATTCCCCCTACCTTAGAATGACTGAGGATTCAGAGCTCATCGTGGATTGAGGTTAACAGTCTGCAGTATCACATTCATAATCTTCGGACTAGGGGTGGTGGTGCATACTTTCTCAAGAGGCAGGTCAGGTGGTCTGGTATTCCCACCTCTTTCAGAACTTTCCACAGTTTATTGTGATCCACACAGTCAAAGGCTTTAGCATAGTCAATAAAGCAGACGTAGATGTTTTTCTGGAACTCTCTTGCTTTTTCAATGATCCAACAGATGTAACTGTTTCAGCATATATCTCTTACATATAAGGACTCTCTTTTTGAAAAAAGATAATCACAATATCGTGTGTGTGTATGCAGTTGCTCAGTCGTTATCTGACTCTTTGTGGCCTCGTGGACTGTAGTCCACCAGGCTTCTCAGTCCATGGAATCTTCCAGGCAAGAATAATGAAGCGAGTTGCCATTTCCTATTCCTGGGGATCTTCCTGACCCAAGGACTGAACCCCGTCTGCGGTGACTTCTGAAATGATGTCTAATGTTTGCTTTTAAATAGTATGAGGAAGGGACTTCCCTGGTGGTCCAGTGGCTGAGACTCCATGCTCCCAGTGCAGGGGGACCTGGGTTCAATCCTTGGTCAGGGAACTAGATTCCACATGCCACAACTAAAGAGTTTGTATGCCACAAGTAAAGACCTGATGCAAATAAATAAATAAATAAATATTTTTTTTAAAAAAAGAAAGAANTCCAGGCAGGAATACTGGAATAGGTTGCCATTCCCTTTTCCAGGGGATCTTCCTGACCCAGGGATCAAACCTGTCTCTCTTGTACCTCCTGCATAAGTCAACCGCAGTTACTTTTGAACCTCAATTACTTTAGCACCAACCTCATATGATAACAATTTTGTTAAGAAGCATACAGGCAACTACCTGTTTAAATGCCACTAGCTGGATACTTGCTAATTGGCACCTCTTTAGCAATAGCACTCAAAACATTACTTTCCCCTTTATGACTCATGTACCAAGAACACAGGCTAATCTGTTTTTTCTTTAAAAGATGTTGTATAGACTCTCATCTCTCCCACTTCTTTTTTCCTGAAGAATAGAAGAGGAGAGAAAGTGTTAAGAGTGAAATGTGTGCATTCTTTCCACTGGTCTCCCAAAATGTGCTAGAACAGATCCCAGCAGTTCTGGGATCTTGGCTAACAAAAACCAGGACACAGGTGTCCTTTATAGAATACCAGGGAAGGCATGGTTGGTGAAGTGGTGCCAGTGTTGAGTGGCACTACTTGCTCAAAGTTGCATTCAACCATTTGAGTATAGTTGTAATGTCTGACCTAATAGCCAGAAGCCTGGAATTCTAGTCCCAGCCATAGGAATCTCCATCTATGGTGCGGGGAAGAGTGGTCCTAACCTGCCTGTAAGGCTTCCTCACCCAACTTCTTTATACTTGGCATCCCCCAGCTAGTTTGATGGGTTTTACATAATACATGCAACTCAAAATATGGCAACACAAAATAAAATTTTACAACAAATAAAATTTTATTCACAATTCATTCTTATAAACGTATGTCCATATTACTCTCAAAATAAAGTTTTGTGAGAAATTAACGGAGGGGAAGATGTCTGCTGAGTTGAGGACCATTTCCTAAGCCCCTCTCCATCTCACCCTATTCATTCCCTATTAATGACTTTGTTTTCCTGTCTTTCAAGTGCAACTCATCACTGGAACGCCTTTGCATTAGCTGCATCCTGGAAGAAGCTCTGTGATGTGTGGGTCATGAGTTTGCTCTGGCAGATTGGACTCTTAACAAGGAACAGCTAGATTTGAAGACGAGGATGGAAGAGCCAGCACCAGTGGAAGGCCAGAGTCAGCTCCCAAGCCCCCACTACAGCTCCCTGAGGAAAGCCATGGCGGCTGCTCTGGTCCTTGATGGGGAATCCACCATGGGGCGCAGGAAAAAGAAGAAGAAAGAGTCCCGCCCGGAATCTATCATCATCTACCGGTCAGAGAGTGAGACCCTGGATGAGGAGCCTGGGGAATCAGAAGGTGGGGATCAGCCTAAAGAGGAGGAGGGAGAGGATTTCCTAGACTATCCTCTAGATGATGGTGAGTCTCTCTGGGGTCACTTGCTTAAAGCCACAGGGAGGAGGCCAAGTAAGGATCCTCCAGAAGACAGACTGGGCATTCAATCACTGACCTACTTCTTACTGATACATTTCTTCTCACAATGTTGCAGTCTTCATCCAACAAGTCAACAATATTTATTGAGCATTTATTGTGGTTCTCTTCTAGGTGATATGGAGGAGAACTCTACTTTTTTGAAACTCCTAGTATAATAGAAGAGACCAATTTGTCACAAAAATTAGTAATATAAGACAACCAGGCTAACTATTTAATACCTGTAAGATAAAGAAACAAGAATAGTTGACGTTCATAATAATCAGGAAAACGTGAATTATAATATCATGCGTTATAATCCTTCACTATATAATATTCACGTTCTATATGGATGGCAAAAAAGTTAGGTAAAACATATTAACATCAATGTGAAGAAATGGATATACTCTCATATACCTCATGTGGAAAAGTTATCTGCTTTAGGGAAATATGTCAATATCTATTAAATTCAAAATATGCTTAGCTTATCTCCTAGAAATTTTCAGTATCTACCACATGCTCATGTGCATAAGGAAGCAGTTATGAAAATGTTTGTTGCTGCTAAGGAAACTGCAGGACGTCTATATTAAGTGTCACTATGCAGCAATAGACAGACGTGGTAGATCTATTTGTGTATATGGGTCATCCCTAAGACACATGCCCACGGTGAATGAGATGAGCCTTGTCGCTGCTCTCATACCATTTACCTTCCAGCCAGGGGAAGACAGATAGCAAACAACTCAGCAAACAAAAGGTAATTTCAAAAGAGAATAAAAGATAATAGTGGTACAGGTTCCAAAGACAGTAAACCTCTGTGAAAGGAAGGAAGGTGACCAAGTGAGGGAAGGAGGTGGAGGGCTAGACTGCACAGCCTCTCAGGAAGGGACATTTGCTTTTGAGGTGGCCCCATTCTGTCCTTCTTCCAGCCAGGGGCTAGAAGTCCACAGGGCCTTGGGGAGCTGCCAACCAAAAGCCTTCACATACTAAGGACCGTGGACTTTGCTGCATGCTTTACTTTCACTGCCTGCAGACTCACTCCCAGGCCCGCCAAAGAGTGGCTGTTTGCTGGGGGTGGGAGTGATGCTGCTGGTAGTGCATCTGTGCTGGGGAATGTGTGCGGTGTGCATGTGTGTGTGAGGTGCCTGTGTGTGTACAGAACTTGGATATGAAGGCTGGGATGTCGACCGGTTTGTGAAGAGGCCTCTCTCAGAGAAGCACGGAGGTAGCAGTGAGGAGAGAAGAGGAGTGGGCTGCCCATCAGTATAACACACATACACAGTGCCACCTTCACACACAGTAGCTGATACTCAGAAACAGTATTTTCACAGCACTTACAAACCAGAAATACTATCACACTGAAGAACTATCTGTGGTCGAGTTCTCACTCCCTTCCGTATCGCAGACATGATGGAAGCCCAGAGAAGTAGAGATAATAAAAAACAAGCGTCACCTGCTTCACAGTCTTAGAAGGGCCCTGGCAGGAGAGTTGATCCTGAGAATACTAATCCTTCCCTCGAGGGAGACTCACTGAATCTGCTGTGAAATCACTGACTTCGTATGGTGTCAGGGACCAGCATAAAGGACCTTCTTATACTCGGCTCCAGTCTCTGGGGACAACACTCTGATGAAACGTCTGTTCTTCTGATCTTGACTTTCTCCTATTTGTGCCCTGCAGGTGTGTGGAATGTGCCCGTGGACAGCCGCTATGTCACATTAACTGGGACCATCACCCGAGGAAAGAAAAAGGGGCAGATGGTAGACATCCACGTCACATTGACGGAGAAGGAACTGCAGGAACTCACCAAGCCCAAGGCATTGTCAAGGGAAACGACGCCTGGAGGCAGAGAGGCCTGCCAGCTGGGAGCGGACCGTGGGCCCCACGTGGTGCTCTGGACGCTGGTCTGCCTGCCTGTGGTTTTCCTCCTCTCCTTTGTGGTCTCTTTCTACTATGGTACCATCACTTGGTACAACATCTTCCTCGTGTACAACGAGGAGAGGACCTTCTGGCACAAGATTTCATGTTGCCCCTGCCTTATCCTCTTCTATCCAGTGCTCATCATGGCCATGGCCTCTTCCCTGGGCCTCTACGCGGCTGTGGTCCAGCTCTCATGGTCCTGGGAAGCCTGGTGGCAAGCTGCCCGGGACATGGAGAAAGGCTTCTGTGGTTGGCTATGCAGTAAGCTGGGTCTGGAAGACTGTTCTCCCTATAGCATTGTGGAGTTGCTTGAATCAGACAATATCTCAGGCAATCTGTCCAACAAGGATGCCACCCAGGAGGTAGAAACATCCACTGTCTAAACTCCCAACGACTTCATTCTCTGGTCTCAGTAGCCTGTTTATCATCTTCCAATTCCAGATACTCCTTGTTTGAATTATTCCTCCTCTCCCCACCATACACTGTCCTTCTGGAAATTTTTAGCCCGCACTTATCTGTCCTACCATCTTGTTGGTTTCCAGGAGGGCAGGAACCGGAAAAGCAATTTGTGCCCAAATAGCCCATCTAATGGATAACCTCTTCTTTGTTCCTTACCCTAAGATAACCCTTTATTTAAGACAAGGAAGTTCAGGTGTGCCGCAGTCCAGGAACTTGAAGGTATTTCTGGTGCCTGGAACCCAGGTTAGTGTGTGACTAAATGTGACAGGGAGAACAAGGAGGCTCAGGGAAGACCAAATCCACTGATAAGATAATAGATAGTGATGGAGTGAAACATAGAAGAAGCAGGGTTGCTACACTGTAGCAGAATGTAAGAATTTGTGTGTATCACTTAGGTTTTGGTTTATACCTTAAATATAATTGAAGTCCAAATATCAGTAGTTTAAACAAGACAAAAGTCTGAAGAAGTCTAGAGGCAGACCATCAGGGAAACTGATGAAGTCCTCAGAGTTCCAGGCTTGCTTTTTATTTCCCAACCCTCATTGCCTTTATCCTCAGCTCCCCGGGCTGACTACATCTCCAGTCATCCCACCATGTTTCAGAATAGAGGACAGGGCAGAGAAGAGCACATACACTCTCCTAAGCTAGGGAGGTTTCCCAGGAGCCCCTCTCAACACTTCTGTCTCATTGGCTGGGCCTTAGTCACATGGTCTCATGAGCAAAAGAGGCTGGAAAATGTAGTCTTTTGACTGGGCGGCTGTATTCTAAATATTTGGATTCTGCTAATTTAAGAGACAAGGAACAAATGGCTATTTTGGTAGGCAAGTAAGAGTCTCTGGCTTACAGTAATTATTTAAATATGTTCAGATCCCAAACTGTGAATATAGTTCTATTTATGTATTTATTTATTTATTTAAGCCTAAATCTTACACAGAGAACTTATACATAGATACTAGCTACATATACTATGCATAAACCACACAGATATTAGCAACTCGTGTGTTGCAGTGAAATATCTGTAATGCCGTATGGTTTCAGGTGTTTTCAAAAGGAAGAGTGGATAGCTGAGGACAATTATATCATGTACAAATTATATCATAGTAGCATAGCTTTTCTCCAGGTAGTGAAGACGGACTGGGCGGTGATATTTAAGGTAATGTACAGATGAAAGACTGTGACGAGAGGCATCACATCTGTCAGACATCCCTGCCCCCCAAACCCCCAGCAGGGTCAGTAACCCTAAGCAAAAGAAGATGGAGTCAGCTTTGGGTGTGTGTGTGGGCTCAGTCATGTCCAACTCTATAGCCCTATGGACTATAGTTCACCAGGCTCCTCTGTCCATGGGATTTTCCAGGCAAGAGTACTGAAGCAAGTTGCCATTTCCTTCTCCAGGGGATCTTCCTGACCCAGGGACTGAACCTATGTCTTCTGTGTCTCCTGCACTGGCAGGCGGATTCTTTACCACTGAACCACCTGGGGAGCCCCAGCTTGAGATGGTTTGTCCAAACCTCACTCAGAGCCTCACTCACTCAGATTTTTCTGGAGTTCATCAACAAATACAATCTTTGCTGAGAAGCTTGGGTCTTTGTGGCCACTGAGGGTGTAAACCAGATGAATCCAGTGTAAACCAGATGAATCCAGACTAATAGATTCTGAACTTAAAAAATTTCCTGAGGGATTCCTTTCTAATTTAAAAAAAAAAAAAAAAATCCTATGAGGTCACGCAGATTTTTAAAGTTTGGGTCCTTACAAGAAGAGCTGGTGTCCGTGTTCATGTTTCAGGAAGAAGCTGTTGAAAGAACTGCTGTGAATCAAACCCAGTGGGTCAGGGAACGCTGTGCCACAGAAGGCCAGGGACATTTGCTTAATGCATGGTGCTGAATTCCGCCTTCAGAGGGAAACCCATCCTTTTAAAAATAACTATCAATTGTTTGAAAAAACCCAACTCTGCCCAACATTTTTGAAGATAACTCTGGTGCTGTCTGGTGGTTTTGCAGAAATACAAACAATTGAAGACAAAAATAAAGTCTAATTCACATTTGCTCACTTTGTCTCTGAGTCTCTCCAACATTGCTTTGAACACTACAGTTTTCAGAAAAAGAGTGAGCGCAGTGACTGTTTTATAGGTGTGTAATGGTCTTAATATGGGTCCTTAACATCTTGACTCTTTCCATGGACCAACAATTTGTGAGGCTTCCATTTCGGTGGACTCTTCTCACAGATCACAGATTTACCTAAGCCTACATTGGAAAGTTGCAGCTTTATTTGTCACATTTTTTTCAGAGGTTAAGGAAACCAGTGGGCAAGGCCCAGAGCAGTCACAATTAGGACAAAGGTAACATGTCCCTTCGGGACGGAGGAGGGTGGGGTTAGGGTAAGGAACAAGGGATACCTAGACGAAGTAGATGTAGTTGAGCGCACTTTAGTTGAGCATGCCAGCTAGTGGACCCCATAGGTTCATAAAATCATTTCAAAAGGGCTCAGAGAGATGGAGAAGTCTAAACTAGAGGAAGGAAAACTTCACCAAACAGACCCAAAGCAATCTCATCTCAGCTGTCAGCAAATGCCTAGAGAATTTTAGAGGAGAAACTAGAGAGTTAAATGCCGTATTTGCACATTCTGTTAGCTCAGTTACATCATCTTTTTGATAAGTATCAGGAAGGAGGACTATGCTTTCCAGTTGCTTTGCAGCCATAATATGCTGAGCTGGGTAAACCATATTTGATCCAGTATAATAAAACCAATGTTGCCAAGTCTTTTTGGGGGTGAGGGGGGCACGCAGCATGTGGTATTTTAGTTCCCTGACCAGGAATCGAACTGTGCCCCCTGCAGTGGAAGCACGGAGTTTGTTTTGTTTTGTTTTTAATTTATTTATTTTAATTGGAAGCTAATTACTTTACAATATTGTGGTGGTTTTTGCCATACATTCACATGAATCAGCCACGGGTGTACATGTGTTCCCCATCCTGAACCCCCGTCCCACCTCCCTCCCCATCCCATCCCTCAGGGTCATCCCAGTGCACCAGCCCCGAGCACCCTGTCTCATGCATCGAACCTGGACTGGCGATCTATTTAACATATGATATTATACATGTTTCAATGCTATTCTCTCAAATCATCCCACCCTCGCCACATGGTTCAAAAGTCTGTTCTTTACGTGTGTCTCTTTTGCTGTCTTGCATATAGGGTCATTGTTACCATCTTTTTAAATTCCATATATATGCATTAATATACTGTATTGGTGTTTTTCTTTCTGACTTACTTCACTCTGTAAAACAGGCTCCAGTTTCATCCGCCTCATTAGAACTGATTCAAATGCATTCTTTTTTTTTTCCCATTTATTTTTATTAGTTGGAGGCTAATTACTTTACATCATTGCAGTGGTTTTTGTCATACATTGAAATGAATTAGCCATGGATTTACATGTATTCCCCATCCCGGTCCCCCCTCCCACCTCCTTCTCCACCCGATCCCTCTGGGTCTTCCCAGTGCACCAAGCCCGAGCACTTGTCTCATGCACCCAACCTGGGCTGGTGATCTGTGTCACCCTAGATAATATACATGTTTCGATGCTGTTCTCTTGAAACATCCCACCCTCACCTTCTCCCAGAGTCACAAGTCTGTTCTATACATCTGAGTCTCTTTTTCTGTTTTGCATATAGGGTTATCGTTACCATCTTTCTAAATTCCATATATATGTGTTAGTATACTGTAATGGCTTTATCTTTCTGGCTTACTTCGCTCTGTATAATGGGCTCCAGTTTCATCCATGTCATTAGAACTGATTCAAATGAATTCTTTTTAATGGCTGAATAATATTCCATTGTGTATATGTACCACAGCTTTCTTATCCATTCGTCTGCTGATGGACATCTAGGTTGTGGAATTGGGGAGTTTTAATCACTGGACCACCAGGAAATCCCCCAAGCCATCTAGTCCATCGACATTAAGTTGCCATCCTTCATTTCAGTTCAAGTCCAGGGGGAACAAAATCTCCTTGGATTATGATTATCCATGGTTTCCAATGAAACAAGGTTCTAAATCTTTAAAAGAACTAATTTTAGATGACTTGATTCATTGCATCATCGAGGGCCATCCAGCACTTAAGGTTTACAGTGTTGTAAAAGATTAGTGGCCAAAATCAAACTTCTCCTCTTTAATTACTAACATAAGCTGTTGAAATACTTTCTAGGCCCAAGGTGGAGCCACTCCTGCCTAGGTGCCACATCAGCAAACCAAAATTTAGATCACTTTTGTATCCCTTTAAATGCTCTGCTTGACCAGAAACGCAGTACAATTGTCCCTAGCATCAGTGGGGGATTGGATCTAGGACCTCTGGGGAGACCAAATTCCGTGGATGCTCAAGTCCCTTATAAAAATGGTAGTAGAGTTGGTTCTTTACATCTGAATTCTGCATTGAATTCAACGAACCAGGGGTTAAACTTAATCCGCAGTTGGTTGAACCTGTGGTTGCTTAACCTATGGATATGGTGGGCCAACTGTGTGTGTAGTCAGCCAACTCCCAGACAGCAAGCCAACTCTGAGGTCTATACCTATTTCCTTGTTCCTTCTCATTCCAAACAAGGCTCACTATGTGGTCAACAGCTAATTAGATATTTTCTACTTTTCTCTTCCTTGTTGGTTATTATCTATCCCATAGAAGCTTCCTGCCTTTGTCCTATTTTGTGGTTCTTTGAATCTGTTTCAAAAAGTGTTAAATAAAATCTATCACTGGCATTGTCTTCTTTAATCATTTTTAACAAGCATTTTATGTCTTTTTAATGGCATTTAAAAATCACATCAACATGGTACATCACTGCTTACATCTTTCTGGGATATAAACTTATTTCATATCTGTACTTTGTTAAGATTTTAAACATTTTTCCAATTGCCCATGTAAACATCATTACACCTCTGTCAGAACACAAAACCTGCACATTTTAATTTTGTATAATGTTCATAAATTCATCACTTATGTAGTTCATCACTTATCATATCAGAACAATATCAAACTCGAATACATTTCAGCAACTTAAATTGTAATTTCAAATTAAAATTTTTTACTTGCCTTTGTTAACTATTCCAAAGGGAAGCTTAGTCCACACTACAGCAAGAGTTTAAAATATCCCTATTGTTTCAGTTATCTCTTGTTGTTTAACAGGTAAAATTTAACCGGATTAAAATAACAATCATTTGACTTATTTGCTCATAATTTGCAACTTGGGTGGAGCTTAATGGATATGACTGGTCCATATCTCTCTAATACTAATGAGAAAAAAGAAGGAAATAGAGGCTACACACAAGATAAAATCATGGACATAAAGCATGGAGATTTCCTTCACCATGGTGAGTCACCAGTAATTATTTAAATGTCATACAAAAAATACTTTAAAAATAATATTTCAACCTTAAAAGAACTCCTTGAATCAACATCTAGATGAACTTCCTGGACTCTAAAAGCACAGTCTGAAAGTATCTGACTCTCCTGACTTCAGTGTGTTTGTTACTTGGGTTCCCTCAAGATCCCTCCCTCCTCATGGCCTCCCCACATCTTTCCAGCTTCACATCTGCTTTTCTTAGGTCTGATTTTTAAGAAGATGATTGGACTTAATGTTCTAGTTGGCAGACACTTGCAAGTTGCCATATGCTTTGTCCAAGCAGCCATCAGCCTGTGGGCCATTTGGTACAGAAAATAGCCTTTTCTGTGCAAGCTTCAACTTGGGCCTGCCTCCCTCAAAGGGGCTGCAGGCTGGACAATTTCCTTTGAAATCAGGTGGGGAGATTGTCAGGCACCATAGTTGACAGCTGCCTCTTCTAGAACATCTCCCTAGGTTCTTCTTCTTGAACTAAACCTCACTCCCCCCTTTCCAAACTAGGTATGTGCTAAGTCACTTCAGTCCTGTCTAGTTTTTGCAACCATAGGGGCTAAGCCCATCAGGCTCCTCTGTCCATGGGATTCTCCAAGCAAGAATACTGAAGTGGGTTGCAATGCCCTCCTCCAGGGGATCTTCCCCACTCAGGGACTGAACCTGCCACTCTTATATCTCTTGCACTGGCAGACAGGTTTTCTACCACTAGTGCCACCTGTGAAGCCCAGGGATACTCTGAAGTATCCGGAGATCCTTAGTAGATGCTGTTCATGCCTCCAGGCCTATATACATCCCACCTCCTCTTCAAGAAAAGATGCTGTTTCCACTTCTGATTGCCTGGAAAACTACTTTTCTTTCAAGAATTGGTTCTAAGGTCATCGCATCTGCTGTCTTTCCTTATCCTTCTTGTAAGAAGAAACAGAATTTTAGGGACGTCAACTGACTTTCTGGATTCATGCTCATATACAAGGAGATCTAAGTCCAGATCTCTGACACAAGACGCTGTGTTATTCTCAATGTGAGAAAAGGAGAGTGACTCTTTCAAAGTAGAGATTCCTATTTACCTGATTCTAGAAATTTGGGAAGTTCGAAGACCACAAAGTCCCTTCAGTTCAGTTGCTCAGTCGTGTCCGACTCTTTGCACACCAGGCCTTCCTGTCCATCACCAATTCCCGGAGTTTACTCAAACTCATGTCCATTGAGTCGGTGTTGCCATCCAACCATCTCATCCTCTGTCGTCCCCCTCTCCTCCCTTCTTCAATCTTTCCCAGCATCAGGGTCTTTTCAAATGAGTCAGTTCTTTGCGTCAGGTGGCCAAAGT